TAAGCTTCCCAGAGACATCGATTAGGCATGCTCGTGATTTCACACTCAAAACTTCATTTCTTTAGTACTTCTGAGAACTCTCGAACTGGGCTGTCACTCAGAAATAAGACCTGAGTTCGCAATCTGGAGAGATATTTCCAGATGAAAGTACATGTCTAATTAGACTCATAATTTTTTTCTTTGTGTTAAGAATTCCAAAGCTACAGCTCACTCTTGACTAGACTTCTGTTTGTTTGTTTGTTTCAAGACAGGCTTTCTCTGTGTAGCTTGACTGTTCTGGACCACTCTGTAGACCAAGTGACCTTGAACTCAGCAATCTGCCTGCGTCTGTCATCTTCCTGCCTCTGTGTCTCCTGAGTCCTGGAATTTTTAAAGGGATGTACCATCACTCTAGAAACTAGAGTCATTTTAAAATAATTCCATTTGGATTTCCCCTGGAGATTATGAGGACATTTTGTTTTGGGGTGTGTATGTGTATTTTGTTTGGTTAGTGTGTTTTGTTTTTGTTTTTCTTTCAGTAGTTAAACTCCTTAATGGATAGTAGTCACATAGGCAGACTAATAAGCTACATGGTTCTCAGCCCCAGAATTGCTCAAGATAAACAGTATGTCCGTGTCATAGTGGCAAAATCAAGTATGAAAGTCTTAGGGGTAGGCAATAGACTTTCAGCATTTCAGTTTTGAGTTTAATTGGATTTCCATTCCACATAGGTGATATTTCAAATTGGTAAATGTAGTAAAACATTTTTTTAAAAGACTTTCTCCTTTTATGAAAATTAGCTTAATTCATTTTTCTTAATCAAGTGCTTTGGTTTATCTAGAACATCTTGGTAGAATTTATTAGGTGCAGTTCTGGCCATCACATAGTGACAGTGAACTTCCAGGTGCTAAAACATGGGTATAAATAGAAATCACTTGGTTTCTATTAGATGAGCACATGAATCTGGCAGATTAACACACACACACACACACACACACACCTGTATACATTCACAAACACTCAGAGTGTGGCACAGCAAGCAGTGTAGGCACTAAATTGGAACCAGGAAGTGGGTGCTGAAATGCTGCTTCCTTGTTCTAGGTTCTTGTTACCATAGTATTTTACAAAGCTGCCCAACTAAACTCTTACGAATTCCTAATTTCACGTGCTACTTTTGATGTATTTTTAATTTATATCTTGAGAGATGATTTTAGATATTTAATGATTATATGTTCCTAGTGGCTACTCAGCTTACTTTCTTATAGAACCCAGAGCCACCAGGCCAGGGGTAGCCCACCCACAATGGGTTGGGCCCTCCCCCACCAATCACTGATTTAAAAAGGGCCTTACAGGCTTGAGTGCAGCCCAATCTTACGAAGGCATTTTCTCAGTTGAGGTTCCTTCCTCAGCTGACATAAAACTAGGCAGCACAGATTATTAAATTATAAATTCCATTCATTCTTAATCACATTAAAAGTCAGCCTGACACTTGCTGAGATATAGCCCATTATTTTGGATTTTATTAGTACATAGGAGAGGAGGCATCAGACACTACACTTACCCTATACTAGTTAAGTACCAGGATAACTCAAAGAGGAAATTTCTTCTTTGTAAAGTAATTTCAGCCAGTGAGATGACTCAGCAGGGAAGTGCACTTGTCTCAAGCCTGACAATCTGAATTTAATCCTCGGAATTCACAGGATGGAAAGAGAGGCCAGCCTCCCAAAAGTAGTCCTCTGGCTCCACATGTATACACAATAAACAAATAAATGTAAAAAGTCATGTGTTTAACCACTGCAGCCCAGAGTTGTATTGGTTCAGTTTCAAGTCTGTGTCCTCCATAACACAAGCGCGACCAGTAAGTCGCCTCCCATCTAGTGGTGAGGACAGTGTTCTGGTTTTAAAGTTGTAGTGCGTGAAGAAGCAATAGTCCTATAAAATGTAGCTGTAAAAGTTTTCATGCACTTTAAATGATCACAAGGCCAACATGAAGCAATCCTGACAGTTTGGCTGAAAAAACCCAAATTCCACTTAACAGTCTTTGCATCTGGAAGAGTGAATTAACAAGACCTTTGTCCCTCCTGGAAACTGACACCAGTGCCAGGGAGTCATTCCTTCCTGCCCTTCTCCCCAACAAAATTTTGAATTTGAATCTTAGTTTCTAGGACTACCAACTAACTGACATTATAATAGATGGAGAATTGAATTAAATATTGTCACCACTAGGTGGCATTGGCTAATTTCCAAATGTGAGAAATGACATGGAGCAAGTGACAAAATTCAATTTTAACAAATATCCTAAAATGAAGTGGAGAATGCACTGATACTAGGCTAAAGGAAAAAAATACTAGAGGCAAGGATAGCATGAAGTTTGGGTTTGGACAAATAGGTGATGTGGGTCAGTAAAAAGCCAACATTGTTAGAAACACCTGCTGAATTGTTTTGGGCAAAAAGATGTGATGACAGAAGCTTGCCTTAAACTATTTCAGAAGACCATGGGTGGGCAGGAGAAAGAAAAGAATAGAATAAATTAAGTTAAAAAGGTCTATAATTAGTAAAGTCCATTGCCAAAGATCAAAGTTAAAGGTTGGTACAGCCATGTTAGTGAGACTTCAATTAATAGTTACCAGTAAAGAAAGAACTAAATTCCAATCTTTATTGTGTAGGAGTGACTGGGCATCTAATAGGGTTATGAATTAGAGAGTAATATTGGGCTCACATAAGCATTTAAGAATGTTTGGTTGGTGTGAATGGTTAGAACAGCTGTGTCTATTAGTTAACATTTAACATTATTATCAAAGTGAGGATATAGTGAATTGGTAGAGCCCATGACTACCATGCACAAGGTTTGCTATCTTTAGGCTCAGAACAAAATGCCATTAACATTGAAGTTAGAATTCCATTCTCCTAAGGAAAATGGAAGACCTCAGAATTACTTTTGTTCTCCCAAAGCATTTTTTTCACATCTTTGAGAAAGATAATTTTGTGTTGGAGGCACACACATAGTAAACTGGAAGGAATAGGAAATGCATGACTATTAGCTCCTAATAGTCCTCTGAGAAGATGTGGAGAAGTATATCTTCCCATCATTAGATCCTGGAACAACTTTACATTCTCCTGGTAGTATGGACCTTTCACAGGAAGAATTTGGGTTTTGTTAGTGTTGTTTTGTTTTTACCATTCTGTATACCCAAACAAAACCTATGCTTGCATGCTAAGGTATAGCATATCACTGAGCTGCAATCCCCGTCCCTCGGGCTTTTTAAAGGAAGGCACGGATCATCATGGGTGTGTATCCTTATGCTTACTAGGAATTATGCCAGAGTTTAGTTACCTTCTAGTGCAGAAGCTTTGATAATGTCCTTATTTGCTAAGATATCTGTAATTCTCAAAGAGACATTTGGGTCTCTGTAAGAAAATATATTATGTATGTGCTTGATTATTTTTATTAATCAAGGTTTTGTTGTTGTTTAATGTGTATTCCTATTGACTAGTAATTCCTCTAAAGGGATGCAAGAATAGTCAGGAACTTGGTCAAGGATTTATGTCTGAAGATGTTCATCAAAGCCCTAACACAGAGACAAATTGAAAATAGTTCCAACATTGGAAGATTTACAAACAAGAGGTAGTATATTGTTTTACCCATTAGATTGTAATCCAAAAACACTGAGACCCCTTTCATTGATGAAATTGTATACATAACCAGTTGAAGGAACTTGTCCCCTGAGAAAAAAATTGACAATATTAACAAAAATTGTTATACAGTAGTATAATGTGATTGACTGACAGGAATGACAGAGATAGCTGTACACCATGGAGTTGCTTCACATGCCAGTAGTCATCGACTGATGTGTAACCTCAGGAAGGTCAGTGTGTTTCGGTGTCTAGTACTTGGTGTTTGGGACAAAATAAATAAAATACCTGTTTTAATGTATAATAGACACTTAGTGGAATAAAATTCAAGTTCTTTGATTGGGTTCAAAATACAAGAACTTTCTTTTTATATTTCTTCCCCTTAAATACTATCCTTTCTTGCCAGTTTGCTATTATTCTTTTTTTTTAAGATTTATTTTTCTTTTTTTTAAGATTTATTTATTTATTATGTATATAGTATTCTGCTTACATTCATGCTTGCAGGCCAGAAGAGGGCACCAGACCTCATTACAGATGGTTGTGAGCCACCATGTGGTTGCTAGGAATTGAACTCAGGACCCTTGGACAAGCAGGCAGTGCTCTTAACCACTGAGCCATCTCTCCAGCCTGAGTTTGCTATTATTCTTAGAGTATCAATATGATTGGCAGCTGGATTACATATTATGGGGGAAAAATCAGCTAAATAGTTGCTGGATGAAGGCACTGTAAAGGAATCTTAACAATTTTTTTTTTTTAGCTACCTTAGTTTTACTAGGCAAAGGTGTAACTAATCCTACATGAAGAAATGCTGTTCCCAGCCTGTGAACAAGGGCAGGTTCTGAGTGTGCATGTCAGAGCCTAGGAGAAAGACACAGCTAGCTCAAGCTTCCTGAAATAGTCTAAGTTATATCTCATCTTTGAATGCCTCAAGGATATATGAAATGTTTCAGAGTCTAGGTTATCTTCCTGCTGTCCAAGAAGATACAGTAAAGCAATTGCCACCTTAGTCTGCATTTTAAAAAATGAAGCAAGACTATGAATTTGAGATACTAATGATTAACTTACTCTAATAGGTCTCCAGGACAGAAAGCACTCCTGCCTGCCAACAGTAAGGCTGCAGACCTGGGGGAGAAGGAACGCCCTTTGAGTGTATCTTTCCGGAGCCACATCTGCTCCAGTGCTTGTCTGCTGGAAGCACCGCAGTCCTTGAAGGGAGAAAACCCTCTCCAGCTACCAGTCAGATGTCACTTCCAAAGACGACACGCAAAGACAAACTCTCATTCTTCTGCCCTCCACGTGAATTACAAAACGCCCTGTGGACGGAGCCTACGGAACATGGAGGAAGTTTTCCATTATCTTATTGAAACAGAGTGTAACTTTTTATTCACAGACAACTTTTCCTTCAATACATACGTTCAGTTAACTCGAAATCACCCAAAGCAAGATGAAGTTGTTTCGGATGTAGATATTAGTAATGGAATGGAACCAGTGCCGATTTCTTTCTGTAATGAGGTAGACAGAAGGAAACTCCCACAGTTTAAGTACAGAAGGACAGTGTGGCCCCGAGCATGTTATCTAAGCTCTTCCAGCATGTTTTCTGATTCGTGTGACTGTTCCGAGGGCTGCGTAGACATGTAAGTAGAAAAATGTGATGTTTCAGACAATCCGCATGTAGACACATTTGTCCAGTCTTACTGCGTTCCTGGTTGTCATTTTGTCTGTCTAAAACCTGTGCACAAATTGTCTAAAATAGATGAAAAGATAGCATTTCATTAATTATAACTCTGCCAAAAATGGTAATTTGAAATTTATTTCCTCTAAGGATGAGTATTTCCTTTTATGTAGTAATTTAGTTATAATAGCAACTGCAGTGCTGTTTTTGAGTATCACACATACCCAGACTCTTTAAATACATTCCTTCTCTTTGTCACCACACAAACCTGTTTGTTAGGTGATGTATTTCTATCACACAGATAAGGAATTAATCTCAGAAACAGATTCAAAGAGGTCACAGCAGACAAGTAGGAGAGGCAGTATTTGGACATTTATTCCTAATTTCTGTGTCATTTGTTATATTTTACTTTTACAAATTAATTATCATTACTGGCTAATTTTTTAGAATGCTAGTGTACTCACAGCTTCTATTCTTTAACCATTGTATTGGCATTCCATCAAGAAAATGAAAACATGTTCTGATATGTCAAGACCTTGAGAAACATTCTTTTAAAGATGTGTAATTCATATGCATCTGTAGGTTTGCAGTTAATAGGGTAGATTTGTGTTACATGTATAGTTATCTCTATTCAAATTATCTACCTATACTAAGTAAAAGAGAAAGGGAAGTTATTTTAATATCATTATTCCATGATTAGCTAAGAGGTATATTCAAGGATCCCTGAATGTTTAAATTTTTGTGTTAGTAACAAAGTCTATTTATTTTTATTTTCCGTACATAACCTGAAGCACTGCAAGTATCTTGACCTGATAATCCCTATGGTTGTTTAGTGACTGACTGACTGATAAGCCATGGGACTGCCTGTCACTTTGCATTTCATATTGAAAACATGATGAAAACTATTTACACTACAGCAGTTCCTTTACAATAGCTTCAGTTCCTATGGTCAACTGTAGTCTAGAATTACAGTGCTGGAGAGTTGTTTCAGAGATTAAGAGCACTGACTGCTCTTCCAGATGTAACACGAGGGCCGGCTTGTTGGGGTTTCTGTTCCCACCCGGTAACCCACAGCTGGCAAATCCCAGAGAAAATCAATCACACAGAGATCTCTATAAGTTATAAAGCTGATTGGCCCATTAGGTCAGGCTACTTATTAGCTCTTATAACTTATGTTACCCCATTATTCTTATCTACATTAGCCACATGGCTCCGTACCTTTCTCAGCTGGGCAAGTTACATGCTGCCTCTTCGGTGGTCTGCACAGGAGTGGTAGAGGGAGCTTCTGCTTCCAGAATACTCCCAGTCTCTTTTCTCCACCCCTACTTCCTGTCTGGCTTTCCCGCCTATACTTCCTGCCTGGCCAATCAGCATTTTATTAAAATATGATTGACAGAATACAGACAATTCTCCCGCATCATCCAGAGGACCCAGGTTCAATGCCCAACACCCACATATCAGTTCACATCCAGTACCAAGGGATCCACTATCTTCCCAGGGCAGCAAGCATCAAACACACAAATGGTGCACAGATTTAAAAAAAAAAAAACTACATAGATTGATAATTATAATAATAATCATTAGGTGGAGAATTCTACATCCATTCATTTCATAAGTTTTTTACTACATGCTTTCTGGAGTCATGTGACGGAATGCCCCACTTCATCCCCCCTGGAATGTGAATCGTCTCTTTATCCACACTGTTCATGACTTGCCAGGTAGTCATTTAACAACCACATTGATCATCAGATCAAGTGTCATACTTGCAATACATTCAAGTAAGACTTGAATTTTATTTAATAGTGGCTACAAAAGTAATAATTAATATGCAGGAAAATAAAGCTTGCAAGGGCAGATTAATTCTGGCATCATGTGGCAATGTTTCAGAGTATTAAGAAAAGCAAAATAAATAGACTTTGGTACTAATATAAGACTTTAAGCATTCAGAGGTCCTTGAATATACCTCTCAGCTAATGAGGGAACAACTATTAAAATAACCTATGATGGACGAGCAGAACTACAGCTATCAACAAATGAGTATTTGCTAGATAAAATGTCCATTTTGAAAAATTAAAACCCATATAACTAAATCTCAGTGCAGTTGATATTAGTTGTAATAAGCTTTTGGTTGGTATTATTTTTCATATTGTGTCTAGAGGAGTTTCCATATAACCCTTGAGCAAAAGCCCTCTTATAAAATAAAAGTACACCGTTTTTATATGTCATTTACACTTTTACTGAGTCCCATAACTTGGTGATTTTTTTTTATTCTGACTTCTCTACTGCCTTTCTTATAGAAAAAAATGTGCATGTCTTCAGTTGACAGCAAAGAATGCCAAAGCATGTCCCTTGTCACCTGATGGAGTATATACTGGATATAATTATAAAAGACTGCAGAGACTTATACCTACCGGGTGAGGAACCTTAGAGATTTGTTGCAGGGTGCATGTGTCTGTTGAGGATGGTACTGTTGTAAGTTGTGTGCATGGTGGGGTGGTGCTTGTGCCTGTGTGTGCACACACTGGGAGCCAGAGGTCACAGTCGGCATCTTCCTCAGTCACTGTCCACCTTACTTATTTTTTTCTGATATGTTCTCTTTCTAAGACAGGAGCTTCCCACTTTGGCTAGATTGGCTGGCCAGCAGGCCCCAAGGTCTGCCTGCCTCTGCTGCCCTCCCCAAACCTGGGGTTGCAGATGGGCTCTACCATCTCCAGCTTCTATAAGAGTTCTGAGCAGCTGAACTCAGATCCTCATGCTTCCATAGCAAACATTTTAACTGCTGGCTCATCTCCCAGACCCAGAGAGTACTGGCTTTCAATATTGTCTACAGGCTTACAGGTTTTGTTTATATTTGTTTCTCATACTGAAAATCTAAATTACTGAGAGATAGTAACATAAAAGCATTGTATATTCTTAGAAATGGAACTCAGAGGCTACACATATATCAAAATATACTCAAACACTCATCTGCTTCAAGCCTAGGCCTTTAGGAAATGAGTGACTCTGAGTTGTCAATTTTCCCATTAAAACTTGCACCTCCAGCACATGGGAGGCAGAGGCTGGGTGATACTGAGTTCAAAACTAGCCTGAGCTACATAGGGAAGCTGTTTCAAAAACAAATGAAGGGACTGAGGAGCTAACTCAGTGGGAAATAGCATGAGGACGTGAGTTCAAATACCCAGAACTTAGATAAGAAGCTATACACACCTGTAACCACAGAGCTATTCAAGGTTCAAGATACAGGTCCTCTGGGACTTGCTGGCCCTAGCGTGGATTCAGGTTCAGTGAAGAGATCCTGTCTCTAGGGACCAATGCAGACAGTTTAGAGCAGGACACCTGACATCCTTCTCTAGCTTCTGTGCTTGTATGGCTGTGTGCAACACACGCATGAGAATGACCACACTCACATACACTAATAGGTATTTATTAAAAAGAATGAAGGAAACTAATTTGTCAGTTGATCATTTTCAGCCCATCAAAGTTGATGCTAACTAATAAAACATAGAACTAGAATTAGAAGAGTTTCATCCTATACATTTCCTTTACACATTTAAAAAGCTAACATTTCCTGTGTGGTGAGCACCATGTTACATATCTGGTAAATATTGTGATGTTGAAACAGCCCTGTAGGCTAAGCTCTATTATATAAACTTCTCACTTGAGGTTGGAAAGATGCCTCAGTGGTCAAGAGCACTGGCTGCTCAGGTTCAAATCCCAGCACTCACATGAGGGTTCACATTGGACTATACTTCTGGTCTCAGAGATCCAGTGCCCTCTTTTGATTTCTGTGGACATTAGGCATGCAGGTGGTACAGTCATGCATATAGGTAAAACAGTCATATACATAAAGTTAGATAGATAGATAGATAGATAGATAGATAGATAGATAGATAGATAG